GGAGGAGGAGGAGGATGAGGAGAAGGATGAGAATGAGGGGACAACGACAGGAGACAATCAAATGGACGGCAAGCAGCGGCAACACAAATATGGGACTTACAGTTGCCAAGGCGTCGTCCGAGACATCAGCGACTGGCGGCGCCTGTTCCGCACTAGCAAAGGAATGAAGTTTGGAGTCCCTGTGTACGCAACAGGATGGTGAGCAGGAGGAGAGGAAGAGGGAGGTGACAACTTGTTGATGAGCTCTTCTGGCAAGCTCTCGTGAGAGTTTCGGACTGAGCTTGAACCGCTGGCTGCTCTTCCGATCTGAAAGAAAGAGTGAGTACCATCGCCTTCTGATGACCCTGCTCCTATGTCCACCATGTTGGCTTCTCTCGGCGGGTTTGCGGACGCCATTCGTTCGCGATCCATCTCGAGCTTCTGCTTGATCCTGAAGGCTCGCAGCTCCTCCAGCTCCTTCATTTCTTGCCTGCGGGGGTCTCGTCACGCAGAGCAGCAGGGACAAAGCAGCGCCCACAGCTCAAGTGCCCTCTTTTCCTCCTCCTTCCTCCTCCTCTTCTCCTCGATCTGCTCACTCCAGGCTCTCTTTAGCTCCTGTTCAGCAAGGAGACGGTCGTCAAGAGTACGCGCCGCCCTTCCGTCTCTTCACCTCTTGCCGCCGCTGAGCCCTCTCCTTCTCCTCGTCTGCTTCACCCCCTGAGGCAACGAAGCCACTCTGCTCACTCCTCCCGTTGGTCTCTTGCCGCACATGCTCGGCATGTCGCATCGATTTCTCGTGCTCGTTCGGCTCAGAGGATCGAACACCGTACATGTTTCCTCCTCGCAGCGGCGCCCCTCCCCCCGGACGCCCGAACCCTGCGTTGATGAAGTCCGTTGAGCTGCGCTTCCGTCAGAATCGAGGAGGAGGCGAGGAGGCAACAGGATGGTCCAACCTCTCCATCATCTTCCTAGCAAGCAAATCTTTCATCTCCTCCCTGGTATTTACACTCCTTCTCACGCTCGATTCGAATCCCCTTCTCACTGGTTCTTCCTGCACTCTGTTGAGTGTATAACACAGGGGCTGAGCTCCCACTCTTCACCTGCAGCGGGAAACTCGTGCGAGCTTGATGGCGGCTGCGAGGAGCAGGATCATAGGGCATGTGATATTGACGCTCGTGCATCGGATTAGGAGGGATGGGCGGCAAGTAAGGACGCTGCTGCGGCTGTCCCTGAAGTGCGACGTAGGTCACGTACTGAGAAGACGGAGAGGCACGAATATCGGGGGAGATGTCGCTGAAAGGCTGAAGATGAGGAGGAGCTCTTCTGTACATCTGTTGCATGTTGTGAACCTTCACATGGTATGCAGGGAAAGGCTCATTATCCTCCTACATGGTAGTCAGCGATCATGCTAGTGCATGCACAGCTTACCGGCTGCCATTTCGCTGACATTCGTGACCTCTGGCGCTCATCGTGTCGCTCGATGGCTCTCTGAGGAGATAGGACATCTCTGACCAAGTTTCCTGGGATATTGTGAGTGATCAAAGCTGCGTAGCAGCGGCAAGCAATCGTTCACCCTGCTCTATCTGCAGCAGACTTTGCTTCGAGTACTTAAGCGGGTCGTAGTAGATCTGAGGGCTTTCACTCCCGTGGTTGGACATGCCCGAGACTTGTCGTGACATCTCAGTCTCATACATGTACGAGACATTCCTCTGCATCTCATTCTCTCCCTGCTCGCTCTCAGCCCTGAACGCGCTTGATTCATTCAATGAGCTCAGCCTATGGGGAACACCGAGGCGCCGTGTCAGCTTGTTGCCGTATCGATCCACTTGCAGCTGCTGCAGCACAACGTCGTCCACCTGCTCCGAGCGCACTCGCACCTGCACCTGCGGCTTCACCTCCTCCTCTCGCACATCAGCTAACACCCTGCGCGGCTGAGCAGAGGGAGGGACGCGCTTGCTTTTGCGGTAAACATGGATGGAACGAGGCTTCTTGTCCTCTCTCTTGAACACTATAGGAAACTTAGCTTGCTGGGCAGGCTTGCTGGCAAACAATTGCTCCTCGTAGTAAGATTTCGGGCTGAGTCTCACGTACTTGCCGGGGTTGTATATGTTTCTTCTCCTCCCGCTCTCTCTCACCCCATTCAGCTCGCCCTCCCTTACGTAATCTGTGACATCTCGATCTTCTCTCACATGCATCTCCTCTCTCCGCACGTCTACCCTTTCAGGATCCCGGGGGTGCATCCTCGCACCATGCTGCCTGCTCGCCTGCTCGCTAGCTCTCGACGGCTGCAACTTCTTACCCCGCATGTTGCGATCTGGGGCAGAGACCTGCGGGTCCCCATGCTCATGACCATACTTCCTCTGCCGTTGGTACAGGCTCCAGTCCTCATTCTCGTCCTGCCATCCCGACACCTCCATCACTGATTGTCGCTCGATCACACCGCCATGTCCTGGTTCTTGTAACTGCCAACAAAATCTGCAAACGGCTCTGTTTGTTGAGTAAACGTTTTGTTTGTTGTTCTCGCTCTTTACTCAAAGTTAAGTTAAAATCAAAGAACTTGTTGAAATGGGCACGGTGGCGCCCGCGGCGCCCCCCCGGCCGGGCCGCCCGTGAGTCGCCGGAGGCCCTCACAATCCGACCGCCACGGCGTGATGCGGCCGCCGAAGCCGCGCTGGCGGCGCGGCCCGGACCGTCGGCGTGCCACAGTTGCCGGAGTCACCGTCACAATGTCTCCAAGTTTACTCAACTTTAAGTTGAGTACTGAAAGAGACATTGTCACAATGACTTAGCCCGGCGCCGGTGATCCGAGTCGGACCGCCGTGACACTGGGCCGGCGGCGGACCGGCCCGGGCCGGGCGCTGAGACTCCGAGGCTCGGCGGCCGCCGGCCTGACGGCCCGCCAGTGGAACAGAGTCTCCGAGTCGCGGCCCGGCGCCGGTGGGCGGCGGCCGCCGGGTCACCATTCACGGTTCTGTAACGGTTCCGGCGGCCACGGTTCCGTGACGCCGGAGGCTTGTGTGGCGGCGGACGGACCGTTCGATGCTTCCCTTTACTCAAAGTTAAGTTAAAAATCAGTACTAGTCACGGTCCGACGGGGCCGGGGGCGCCCGTATGATGGGAGACCGGATGAAAGTGGGAGCGGCTGAGCAGGTTTTGAGAGGAGGATGCAACTTGTGGGCGGATCTCTTTTTTAAAACACTCCTTTGTTATTTAAATACATTTATTCACAAAACTTTGTATTCCAAATTTAAAAACCAGAACTTCAACAAAAAAACCACCGATACTCACCTGGAATTCCAATATAATTGAAAACTGTTTCGTTGAGTTTTGAATTTATAATATGGACTTTGAAAGTAGACGTAAAGTTTGAGTCCTCTAATAATGTTTTACAGCATTAAAAACTTTTTAAGTTTTTTCTCCCCCGCATCAGCCGGCCCCCAAATGTCTGCCAAAAGAGATCTTCTGGATATGATCCTTGTGGGGGTCGTAGAATCACCAGACCCCCCTTCTCCCTCACAACTCTCTGTGAGGAAAGGGTGGACTATGCATTTCGGGACCAGGGGTGGGTATTTCAGATTCAAAAATTGCACTTCCTTGTAGGTTATAGAAAAATCTGCACCCACCCCACCCTACTATTGACTTTCGATTTACTAGGTTGTGACCCCATCGTGCTTTATGTAATCAATAGGAGGAGAGGGGTCCGTCGGAAATATTTTGATCCCTTGATCAAAAAACGTTGTTTCGTTTTTACTCAAAGGTCCTCTTCAGTTTTTAGATTTTATTAGACCCCAAAAGATGTCTTTTAAAAATGTATATTTGTCCGCGTGCAGCCAAAAAAAAAGTACCCTTACCCTCAATCTAGCCCAATCTCACCCCTCGCTTGCTGGTTTTAAGACCCCACGGTCAACCCCTCACATGATCCTCGCAACCTAGTACACTCCACCCCTCCTTCAGTAACGACCCCTGACCCTCCACCCCACGTTCATCATGAAACTACCCCCTCTGTTGAAAACCCTGCAGATCTCTATGCACCCCCTTTCTGACTTGGGGTACCCCCACCACTTCATTCTAGTCTACACCCTACCCTGTCAGCTCCCGCAAGGTGCCCAACACGATCCTTTATATTAAAGAGGACCCCCCTGGTGAAATCCTTTCTGCATTCACTACCCCTTCATTTCAACTAAGACCCTACTGCAATATCACCCACCCCCCTTATTTCAACCGAGTACCTCACCTTTTGAATGAGACAGTCAACCCATGGCATTACCCTACCCCTACCGTCAATCACCCCACCCCAGTCCTATACCGACGTTTGACTACCCCAGGGCGTACTACCCCACCTTTGGACCCTCAAACTCCGACAGACTCATCCTTGGGCATGGCGCTGGACAAGGTTGAACAAGGAGAGTGAGGACGTACCAGAGGCGAGCGAAAGGCAATAAACAGGATGGCGAGTTGTGGTCGACAATGCAAGACTGCGAGAGAGAGAGGGAGAGATGCAGGAATATCAAAGGATAACCAAGACAAGAAGGGACAGAGAGGCATGTTGTTCGCGAACAATGGAAGGACTCGGAATTAGAGGTGTAAAGACCATGATAATGCAGAAGTACGCAGGTGGATATGTGTCTAAGACACAGATAACGGCAAATACTTGATAGATGAAAGGAAGACCAGAAAGAATTCAGGAAGAAATCAAGGGTAGCGATTCAACTGTTCAAAGGACAAAAGATGTATCTCGGTTGCTGGCAGGAAAGTTAATCAAACGAAGGTAGTATAGTGTACTCCGATGGCTACCAGACAGAAAACGTTAAATTTACGATATTGTGAGAAGGTGACTATGATACGTCGAGATTGAAACGACGATGTAGTTGTCAGACATCGCAAGATTATATGGCATTGGAGAAGTGATAGATAGGTCACATTGCGCAGGTCTCTTTTAGAACACTGCATGGATCTGCGGAATGCTCTAGACTTTTTGTTTTCTCAACCAAATAATTCAGCAGCTCCTCACTCGATTCTTGTTCCCAAACCAGCAACAGCTTTAGATAACGTACCTCCCTCACCTTCGTAGAAAATCTTTTGGCTCGACTGTCGTTACTTTGACCTGGCGACAATGAGAACTGAGACGTATGGCAGGAGCAAAGACTCGATGATAAGTTGATCAGTCTGTCTAGTTTCATGAAGTCGGTCAGCATGCGCTCGCAGAGAAAAGCTCCCAGGATGTACGGGCGTGAGGAAGAGGACGATTACTATTACAAAGCAACCAAGACAGAGAGGAAGCAGGCAGCGAGTCAGCGCAACCGATCCAATGGTAAGTTGGGCAGGGAGGCTCAAGCAGGAAGTGATGTTGTACCCAGACACCCTGGCGCCAGCGCGTGGCAGAGCAGGAAATGCCGTTCCTGCAAAGCGAAAGCATGCTGTACAGCAGGAAGATTCTGAGGAGGAGCCTCTGGCTGCAAACAACCACCCAACTGCTGCCACAGGGAATCACAACAAGTGAGTTAGTCCTGTGTTCGCGCAGTCAAAGCATGTGGTGACGTGTATATCTCAGGTACTGCCACTTCTGCCAACACGTAAAGGTTACAAACCGAGAGTGAAGGAGTCTGGTCTTTGCTGACGCTGGGAGCAGGTCCGTGCGAGCAGCATGTTGGCTTGTGGCAACCAAGAGTGCTGTCGAAGATTCTGCGAACACTGTCTTCTCACCCACCTCAACGACGACGTCGACCCGATGTCGAGTGAAGCTTGGACCATGATCGATGGCAAGGTTGATCCCTAGGATTTCCTTCTCTTGCCATCTGGTGATTTTGGTCGATCGCAGCCGATTTGGAATTGCCCAATCTGCAGGAAGAAGTGCTGTTGCTCAGTGAACAGCTGCGACTTGAGTCATCGGCATTGCAAGGCGTACCGTTACAGGAGACGAAGAGCCGAGCTGGCGTCGAAGCGGCTGAATGTATCAGGTAGTGACTTGCAGCGACAAGCTCGTAGCCCCATCGCTGAGTTCAACATCAGCTAATTCGTCTCCAGCCTCTGACAAGCGAAGTCGGAAAGTGTCAGGATCGTCGAGGGTTCCAGTGAAGCCTGGAAACACTTCAGGTCAGATTCGACGTCCTGCCTTCCCCTTCCATGTAGTGAACCCTCGGTGAATAGAGGGCTGGAACAAGCCGAGCCTTGTACCTGGTGTCAACTTTGGTTACGTCAAATACAGCAAGGTGAGTTCTTTTTGTACATCTACCCGATTCTTTCCATTTCCCTTCTCATGCTCTCAACGTGTGTCCTCTCGTCATGAGGGTAGAGATCTGGCAGCGCTTGCTCTTGACTGGGTTGTAGGATGCGAACAAACAAGTTATGCCGGACTCGGCGATGTTGAAGGCTGGCCATCCATCGGCTCGTGGAGCCCCGGTGGTCAGACGAGGCAGGGTCGACATGGGCGCCTCGTTGCATGACACCCTAGAACACGCGTCGGACTCTGACATGGACGATGTACAAGAAACGATGCTCCTCCCTGGCCTACCTCTCACTTCCAATGCTCAGTCTGTCGAGAACCGGACATTACTCCCTGAGGACAACCCTGCCGAAGAATCCTTCATGTCCCGGACGGACCCTCTGACGAAGCTCATCGCCAGCTCCACGCACAAGAGTAAGCTGCGCAGGTTCGGTTTGCCCTACTCACCGTCTGTGACAGTGATGAAGCCCGACATGGCGCATGAGTCCATCCCTCACCCTTACGACGAAGCTGCCATGGCGGGTGAGTGCGAGAGCTTCGCCACCCGGCAGCCTTGACACTTTGTGAAGACGACCTGCTGGGCGGCATGTACGGCCACATGACTCGCTTCGGAGACTCCACGGACCTGGATCACTGCGAGATGCTCCTTGGTCGTTGAGGAAAACTCTTGCTGCTTATGACTGACGCTGTGGGGCAGTGGAGGAGAATCTAAACGCGTCCTCTGACCTCGACGAGGCCATCTGGCTGCGCAAGACCTACGAGACCGTCTACAACCCTCCTCAAGCAAAGTCGAAGCTGATGGCTAAGACGCTGGTGGGGATGCCTCTGGGCTCACTTGCAAGTCACCACGAGGCGGAGGATGATAGGTGAGAGGAAGGAGAAGGCACAGGAGGATGAAGTACCTGACTCTCTACACGCAGTCTGAACGTGATGAACTTGAACTCTGCGGAAGGATCCAAGGTCGGTCTGATCTTCCGCTCCTGCTCCTTCTTGACGCTGCCTCAGGCTTATCGCTCCCACAACAAATCTCCTCTCAACATGTCTGATCCCGGTGGCGATATGAGCGAACTTTCTTTCTTCCTCTCTCCGCCTACTAAGCACCCGCGGGCAGATGGAAATGTTAAGGTAAGCGTCTTATCTTCGTCTTATCTTATCTTTTCTCTCCCTCTCTCTCCTGCTCCCTTCTCTTCGCCAAGTGCCTCGTCTTCTGTTTCAGCTACCAGCTCATGTTTTGTTCAGGAGGGATCGCACCAGAGTGCTCTCAAGGCGACCGTGATGTACGAGATGGTGTAAAGGAGGAGGAGGAGTTGTTGTTGTCAGAAAAGCATGTACACTATGAAGGCTTCGTCGCTGTTGGCGACGAGGTTCTTGATGCAAACACCAAGATGCTCTGACGGGTAAATAAAATCTCTTTCGATACTCTCATATGTTCCCCTAACTCTCCTATTCTTCCCCCTCTCTACTCTACTCGTTCGCCCTTGACAAGTACTTCTTGCTGGTCGTGTCCACCTTCACCTTCTCCCCGGTCTGCACGCACAACATCATGTACAATCCCTCCTTCTCCTCCTCCTCCTCCTCTCCTTTCCCTCCTCTTCTCCATTCAATCTCTTCTCTCCATCTCGATCTCTCCTCGACATCCCCCCTCCGCTCACCTTGATGAAGAGTGGTACCCTAACAACGGCTCCAGTCTCCAATGTCGCTGGCTTGTCCCCCCCCTGCGCGGTGTTTCCCTTGACTCCGGGCTCCTGAGCACGCGGTCAGTCGCCATGACCGTCGGGGATGCAGTGGAGGCACAACCGTCTCAGTGACTTCAAGGACCATAGTCTGAGGGATCTCAATGTCGAGGATCTTGTCGCCGAACTTGACGATCTTGACGTCAACACCCTGCGAGGGATGAAAAGTGAACCAAGGGATAGGAGGCTCTAGCAGAGGTGGCGGAAGAGGGGAGGTGGACGGAGGTAAGGTTGGAGGGTGGGACATGTAGGATTGAGGGTAGGGGAGGAGTGTGGGGGGGTTGAAGGAGCACATTCGGAGGAGACGAGACCAAGAGGAGGAGAGGAGGAGAGGAGGAGAGGAGGAGAGGAGGAGATGAGGAGAGGATGGACTTGCCTCCTTCATCCAAATGGTGCTGTCACCCAACACCTCAGCTGACACCTGAGGAGGAAAAACATGAGCAGGAGAGTGCAGAGGACAAGAAAAGGCAGAGGCAAGGGTGCAAGAGAAGCTCTTACAGATTGAGTCTCGAAGGACTCCATGTCCATGAAGACATAGTCGGTTCCATCCAGGTAGTTGAACTGATCGCCAAGTCAACCTTTCCCTGCTTTCTAGCCTCACGCGTAGCCGCCGCTTCACCTGCACGTCGCTCTTGATGACCTCGGCGCCGTCCACCATCTCTCCGGCACGGAAGGTTTTCTCAAGGTTGCCTCCCCTGCACCACTTTCAGCATCGCCCGACGGAGTCTCGAGCACGGCTGACGTCGTCAAGTTCTTGAGCTTCGTGCGCACAAAGGCAGCTCCCTTGCCTGCTCAGACGTGAGCACAGGCCATCGCCCCTCACGCTCGTTGCCTGGCTTCACGTGGAGGAACTCCAGCACCTTGTATACATTCCCTGCGATCGTTCAATGAGCTTCAACTCCTCGACCCCGGCATCAACAACAGCCATGGCAAGATCAACTAACGACATGTCCTCTCCCCATCCACCCCCTCCTCCTTCCCCGAGGTGTTCTCCTGTGCCCGTTTTCCTCCACCCTCCTTCCAACTAACCATCAAACTGGATAGTGGTGCCAGGACGGAAGTCATTGCTGGAGATCGGGCCCATGCGGAGGGAGCTCAGAGCCACAGGCCTGCCTTGACATCAGCCCTTCCCACTGGCAGAGACGGGCAAGGGAAGGACCTGGGTCTCATGCTCATAGGAGCGCAAGTTGGTCCTCGCAAGGTAAGAGGGGAGAGAACATATGCGAACGAAGAGCCCACCAGGGCGGCAAGGAACACAGGTCTCAACATCCTTTCTGTAATGCAATGGTCAGAGAACAAGCTACAATCCCAGGAAAACGGAAATCGTTCGTGAAGCTTTGAGGTTTTGCAGATTGCACGCTTTCTGCTCGTAGAGAGCATTAAACTAACCTCAAAACTGTTGCGGGATTCGAATGGTGGTGCAGACAAGATCCCAAACATCTCACAAGAACAACTGTTCATTCGATCTAAACGTCGTAAACCATCCTCAACGTGGCAGCCACCATATTTTTAGAATCATCTGACTATCATACTTCCTGTCTTCTATCTTCCTCTGTTGAAATCCCTTCTCTTCGCTTCTCTTCTCTTGTTCTTTCTGTCTTATCACTCCCTCCCCCCCCTCCCATCCCCCATCCAGTGGCCTCCATCTTCGGCCTCCACCCTACCCCTACCCCCAGTCCAACCCTTGTTCAGCTCCAATAACCCCTACACTCATCATACTACCTGTGTTCTCTAGTCCCTACCCCTCCAAGTACCGGTCATCACCTTTACATTCACACCCTGCTTTCGACATACAAAGACCTTACTACCCCTACCTTCTCCCATCATTTGACTTACCCACCCACCCTTTGCAAGTCCTACCCTAACCCCTACTTCGGCAAGCCTGACGGGTCCTCCGACCCCCTCCTCAGTCAATAATTGCAGGCTCGGCGATCTGGCGGCCGGGGCCGGGCGGCCCGGTTCACCCGGTAAACGCCGGGCCCGGGGAGGCGGGGACCATTCCAAGTGGCGGCACGGTCGAGGCCAGGGTAGGGGTGAAATTCACATGGGAGAAGGGGGTAGGGTGGAAATCGGGCGGTATGAGCTTCCGTTTCTGAAAAAGGGACAGTGCTTTAACAAGTTTTTAAGTTTAAATTTGCATTGTAGAGCGTCATCCGTTTTACTCGAAGAGTATTTGTGCTGCTGTCCTGCTGATGAACAGCAATGATCCTGATTTTCTATATTCTTTGAATATATACATTTAATCAATAGTGTTAAGTAGGAGAACGTTCTTCGTCATTCGGGAGGTTTTAACCTGTGTTTCATAAAAATAGTTTTATGACGGGGAGACCCCGAGTACCCCGTAGTTTGTCGGTCGAATATTGGGGTATTCCCTGGGTGGGATCAGGGATGACGAAAAAGGGGGGGCTGGATTGTAGATTTTAATATAAATTATACTTATAATTTCATCTAGATCTCGTTGGGATCTGGAATATATATGTTATTTTAAAGACCTGATGCGACCTTGTGTCATGCAGAAGGATGCATGTTGGTAATGTTTAAAACCCACCCTTTTAAATCATTAAACGCTATCAGACCGCTGGGAGGTGGCCGAACAGCCTCCTGACATATTTTCGGCAGAGTCAAACTGTAGTCTCTCAGTTCTCCAAATTGAATATATTTAATAAATATTTACATGTAAATTTCAAAACTACAGAAGTACAAACAAATTTATCATATTTGGAGACCATCTATGAAAAAGGGAATGGTGATCTTGAATTGAGTAAACGATTGTAGGAGATAGTCAAGTATTCTTTTGAAAACAGGCTAGTACACACCACTATTGGGGCAAAGGATTCAAACCTTTGAGGATATATGTGAAATGTTGTACCACGGAAAGGGACATTCTCTGAAATATGAAGACCATGGCTGGAAAATTCCAACTCAAAAATAGGGGTGGGGTGGGCTACAGTACCCCGGGCGGTATGGTCGCTGTGGTTCATGCAGGACTGTAGAAAGTGCGCTGGGCGCGACGGTGATGGGCAGAGCGAGTAGGAGGACACTACAAGTGTCTAAAGTAGAAGGATATCGAAGCTGTATGCCTCAGCCGATGAGGGTGAGTGCGTGAGTGAGAGAGGTCAGGTGCGATCTAACCTTGAAGGTGGGAATGCTTGGAGGAGAAGTTGTGGGATTGTGCAGGGGATGGTAGAACTGTGGGATAGGAGGATCGAGGAGAAATAGATTTTTATTCAGCTTTCGAATGCTTCTTGATAAAGTGGCGACTTAACAGTCAGAATGCAGTTTGATGTTTTGCTAGATATTCAGGAGTGTACTATTTTTTTTCTGTATGTTTGAAAGTCCAGACAGCCACGAAGAAAGTTTGAGAAACATATTCTTAATCGTAGCTTTTCTTCTCTGGGAAGATTATCTGTAGAGTTTTCGGATACTTGATGACTTTTGGACGTACGAATAAGTTGTTTCAGATGGTCAAAAAGAGTCGTAAAGCATTACGATATGATTTGTGGATGAACTTCTAGGAAATGCAGTTCATCTGTTGACGTATAGAAATATTATTTTTGGTTTGTTGTGGTCTGCGATTGTATTACAGCTCGGGTTTTAAAAGCTTGTCATTATAATCCACAGCTACTGCACAGTTTGCTCTCATTGAAATGCTTTTGTCTAATCAGCAATTGAGAGGGTGTGCGCGTTTTCCAACACTAACTGTTCGGGATCTTGTCAGGATTGGATGAACTATGGGCTAGTGGATGCGAAATTTTGGAGAGAAGTGAGCGATATTCTCTACTGATTGTCAAAAAGTATGTAATATCTGACCTGTAGGTATTCCTACACTGAATCATTTATTATCGCTTCAAACAAACAATAGTCTCTGAGAGAGAGCTGTAGGCCTTCACTGGGATGATGCGAATGGCAGCTGAGTGTACAGATATGGACATGATGATGGGATATGATGGGATGGATTCGTCGTTGGATATTCTGGGAGGGATGGAGTCTCTACAGGACACCCCACCCCCAGGTGGTATGGTGCAACCGAATTATCGTTCACATTCAGAAATTGCGACGGACGATGACCTGGGTTCTGTAAAGAGCGAATCGCAAGATGCGTCTGATGTGGTCACGGACTGGTACCTATCAGGAGGTATGCAGAGGAAAGGAGAGGACTCGGCCATGCAGATGCTGGACGACATGGAGCCGGCTGCAAAACGCTCGGCCTCCACTATGTCCTTGAATCCTTCATCGCCTCAAGTCACGGAAAGGGCTAACTCAAGGGGAGGAAATTCTTCGAAGCCACAGATGCCTGCGCACAATGGATTGTTGAACAAAGGCGAGCTGTCAGCTTCCACGCCTCCCTTGTCAGACGACGGCATGGATATCATGCACAAGGTGAGCTGTGCATGAAAGTTAGTGCATGAGATAGTCTGACGTAGAGCCCGTCCAGCGTAAGATATCTGATGTGGAGAATGGAACCATTCTGCCTCGTCAGGGAAGTGAATCAGACGCTTTCTACAACATGCCTGAGCCAGTAAGATCGTGATGAGGTTGCACCATCACAATTTGACTGAAATATTGACAGGCGCCTGATGATCCCATGAGAATGTACACCAAGACAATCATGGGCCTTGGTCGTGAGAACTTCTTCCTAAAGCAGCAGTTTGGAATAGCAAATAATCAGGTGGCCAATCTTGGATAACTTCTGTCGAATTTTCCTGCAGTTCCAGAATCTAACCTTATCTTTAGGTGATACAGCTAAGTAGAGAGCTCGCGACAGTCACTGAAGAGCTACATCGGCTCAGAGTGATCGTAGCCAAGTACGAAGGAAGGTCTCCTCCATCCACAAGCTTAGAACAAAACAAGTTGAGTGGAGGTCAAACAAGTGCTCCTGAGATGCAAAATCGTCCAAGTGTTCGAGATTCGCCTGGTGAATACTTAGATATTGTTTCTGTCGTGGCTGATTCGTAACACGCAGTGACTATGCCTGGGCTAAACCCTCCGACAAAGCCAAATATTCCCAACCACAAACTCTCCTCGGAAGCATTGTCAGTGCACGAAGCAGCAATGCGGAAAAGACTGCAAACTGCTGCTGAGAATCAAGACAGTGGCAATGAGATGGATGGTGGAAAAGCTATGGAAGAATCAGATCAAGGTATGAGATTATGCCAAGTGTGTGTCAAGCTGACAATTCTTGGTTTCCAGTGAGGAATAGCAAAAGTCAGAAGCCAAGTATTTCGGTTGAAGTTCTTGATAACCAAAATCCGCAGTCCAGAGCGTCTGGAGTTGAGCAGAATCGCAATAATGCTTCAGAGATGGCGAAAGCAGTTTCTATGGGGATGCTTAAGCAAGAGCCTTCGAATGGGGATAGTAGCCCAAGTTCAAAGGACTGCAAGGGTTCTGATTTGACAAAGTCGCTCGGCAAGGATAGCAAGAAAGATGGGCAACCAAGATTTTGGACTGCTGACGAGCACAGGCGATTTTTGGAAGCTGTGAGGATGTATGGTTATGGGAATGCGCGTCAGATCGCAGCCTATGTGCAGACAAGAAACATAACTCAAGTCCGAACCCATGCTCAAAAGTACATATTGAAGCTCTCGAGGATGGGAAGTTCGGCGCTCAAGCCTCAGAATGATTTGAAGCCAAGAAACATGGAAAGGAGGGGATATCAGACACCCACAAATCTGACACAAGAGGAAGAGGATCAATCTCTTGCTTTCCTCGGCGAGAAAGGTACAGGGAATTCAACATTTAGTTGTTTGCGTGACGATATTCTGTAGATGAAGACATGGGCTTTTCGTAAGTTCATTCGAATCAAGAGTCAAGTAATTTGAAACTGACTTTTGTACAAGCAGGAGCATGTATGGCGCCAGGTCCAACATGGATGAAAGGCAAGCTTACGGCATGGGCTTCATGGCATCGGAGAATCCTTACCAACCGGTACGGATGATGCCGAACAACATGGTGACTTCGCACAACGGGATGGGGATGATGGCCAATAACATGGGGGCCATGGAAGAGAATCTCGCAGTCTCATGGATGCAAAGCATGGAAATCAACAGCTTCGGCTTATAGCAGCTAGGCCCAAAATCAGGAGTGACTATCCCCTAGCTCGTTCCATTGTACATTTGTATTGTTTCCACTGTTTCGATAATAAAATTTCGATCTTTCAATAGTTGAACATGTTTGGGAGGGTGGAGGCGCAACTGAGCTCCTGCATGGAAGTACTTGTCATAGGAGAGAATTCCTTGCGCACTGGCTCAAGCCGAAGAGAAGATGCAGCTGCTCAAAGGATCGCCCGTTGGGTCCGAGGTCCTCGAGATCAATCTGACAATTCAGGTGTCACAAGTGAGGTCAGGGCTGGCCCTGCACTTACCGGCTTGCCCAGCACGCAAGCTCTTGCTACCATGGAGTCAATCGCAAGCTCTCTCCCTCCTTCCTCAGCCTCTTGCGCCTCCAGGTTCTATCATTTCCGTCAGATGGAGGAGCGAGAGGTGTTTGACTCACTCTGCTTGCAAGCTGGGCGGTTCCAACTCCGGGCTCGGAACGATCCCCCCCCCTGTTCCCGTCCAGCGACTTAGAGGAGGTGGACCTCAACAAGGCCAGTTTGGTGAGGTCAGGGCTGCTGTGCCAGTGAGAGCTTCGGCGGAGGGGACTCAAGCTCTCCATCGCCCCACGGTCATCTGAGTGCCGAGCAGATCGCTCCTGCTCTGCCTCTGCCTCTGCCGCTGCCGTCGAGCTTTTCCTGTGGTCGGAGGAGACGATCCACATGCCCCCGCCATCTTCCCCCGCAGCTTTCATGGACACCAGCAGCTTCGCAGCTTCCACGGTGACCCACTGTCGTCGGCTCTCAGCCTCATCCTCCACCTCTCCGACATGAGCACCTTCGGGCCCTGGGAGGACAGGGCCAAGATCTCCACCTGAACGACGCCGTCCTGACTGTGTGGAGGAGGCACCAAGTGGTCCAGCAACGCGTAGCTGGCAACAGACCCTGATCGACACAGTGAGCTTGCGATATCGCGTGAAGAGCAAGTGACCTGCGTCCCTGTCAAGGCTGTTGGAGTCGAGGCAGAAAAGGACGTCCATCTCCGAAAAGGTCTCCTCTGCTTCCAACTTGACATCCGCACTCAAGCCATGGCCTCATCTTTACACCTTTTTCAAAGTCTTCAAGAAACTCGATGAACTGATTTGCGTCTAGCTCTGAAATCTTATGAAAATTCGCGATAGTCAGTGTAAGGCAGCGAAAGCATCCGGGTTGACACCGGCATGTACTGAAACAGGAGAGGAATCCGCAATCTTGTCATGATTGAATTGGGAGATGATTCCGGCGCGTCTAGGCTGAATCGAAAGGTCTTGCTATTTCCTGCAAAGGGGGTTGGAGTAGTTCGAATGTGGAGTCGAATAAAGCAAAAAAACCTTGCGTGCCTCCAAACTCCTTTGCAAACTGTTCCTAGTCAATCATGAGCTTTATCCAGTCATGCTCAAGGGTCCTCTGACCTTCGAGACTGATGGCAAACCTCTCCGTTCCAATATGGTCGAAATACATGCTGAAATATTGTCTGAACTTCAAGCACATACTAAGGCTTGTTACCTGCCACACCGTCTCCGAACTTGAAAGAAAATTCAAGAGGCACGATGCAACCAGCAGCAATGCAAGTCAGTATCACCAGGATATCGCACCCTTTGTCTCTATGATCACCCTCTCCCTATACCCTTCTCCTCCCCTTCTCCTTCTCCCTCTCCCTCTCTCTCCCTCTCCCTCTCTCCCTCTTCCTTTCCCTCTTCCTTTCCCTCTTCCTCTTCCTCTTCCTCTTCCTCTTCCTCTTCCTCTTCCTCTTCCTCTCTCTCGCATTCGTCTTCCCCTCCCTCTCTCCTCCTCCTCACCGCCATGATTCGCTCGTATCTTCGATTACCCGTCACCATCATCATCGGCTCATCTTTGACCTTGAACACTACAACCAGGGCCTCTTCCCCACTCATGCCTATTACCCTCACTCCACCTCAGGCCCACTTCAGGCCCCATCACAACTGCCATCACAAAATCACAAATCAGACTCAACAGGGGCCCCGGGTGGTCTGGTTCGAATGGTCCGATTCCAGGGGTGGGGTCATTGGAATGTATCGAGGATGGGGTGAAGCGGGAGTATTTTTGAAGGTGGGGGTACCAAATACTGAAACCTCATGGGGGTGGGGCCCTGGGGGGTGGTCAGAGTCAACGGCAGGTTTCATGGTAGCCACTGGGGCTTCTCAGTCATGATAAATTTGAAATTATCGTTAACATTTTTCCAAAAAGTTATTAAATTTGAAAACTTAATGAATATCTTCGACTTATTTTTCCAAACTAGAGGAAGTATTGGCCCCCAGTCAGAATTCTTAAGCGATCTCAGGAAGCGTACCCTACCCAATAATTCACCTTTAGGGACCCATACCCCTGACATCATTGTAAATATCGACCCTACCTACCAAATTAATTTTTACCCTTATTTTGAGGTCAAAGTACCCCTGCATTTCACACAAATTTCCAACCTTACTTCCAAAGCACCCCCTCTTTTGTCTTCTCTGGTCGTCTGACCCTCCATTTGATGTACCCCACCCCCTTTTCTCCAGGCCTCTAAGCACTTGTTGATGCCTCCCCTCCCTCGCGCCCCTCTCCTCCTCGACCATCCTTGAAGCTCCTCCTACCCGCACTCGCTCTTTCGAGCGCCCCCCTCAAACTTATCAGTTCTCCTGTCTTTCCTCCTGACTGCCATCCTATTGGATGATTCATGATATCTCTCTGTCAACAAAAATCCTTCCCACAAATCCTCTCGTCTTTCCTCGTCCTTCTGGTTCCACCCACCTTTGATTAAATCAATGGTCTCCCTTTGCTTTTCGTGTACCTCTTATGTTTCTCGTGCTTTCCTTTTTGTATTTGTAGTTTGCATCACATTTTCAGTCTCCTGCGAGTCTTCAAGTGTTGACTTGTGCAGTTTTTGTACAGTGTCTGGCTTTATACTGTCACTTTGCTATTCCTACTATTACCTATTGAGTTGCTTCATGTGCAAGAATTGTCAAAATCAATCTCGTGGCCATTTTGACGTCCTGTACATGATTGTTTTGTTTACCTTGGCTGCTTGTTGGCTAGTTTTTGATCTAGTCACTCACACTTTAGAGGAGCATATTACTATCTCGCTGACCCTTTGCTTTCAGGTCAAGTGCCGCAAAGATTTCATGAGCAGCAGAGGTCAACATCCCTAGACAGATCTTAGTGAAGCTTCTGTTCCCGCGTGCTGGCAGCTGCAGTCAAGATGCAGGACGGACAGCCTCCCAGCAGCAAAGTCCAGATGTCCATTAAGGAATTTTATCCAACACGGTTCAAGAAGCAGCCGGCAGTCCAAACCCCGAAGCAGGGAAGATCTGACCAAGAGGAAGCTTCGGCTGTGGCAGAAAATGGCGAGCAAAAGTCTTTGCAGCTGCCTTCAAAGTTGTGTGGGCAGGGCATGATGGAGCGAATTAAGTTGGCTGCCATGATCAAGGAGCTACCGATCGAGGACACCTGCGCAGTAGTGAGACAATCGAAGATGAGCAGCAGCACCAACGTGCCATGTGGTGCCGGCGTCGCGTTTGAAGCTGAAAGACAAGCTGTTGACTGTCGAGGCATGGAAGAGCTCAGCACGTCCATGGCAGTAGCGGCGATTGCATCGGCATCAGCGGCATATTCAAGGCGCATCTACTTGGAACCACCTGCCTCAAGTGAAGGATCTAACGGTGTCTGCTCTGTGAGGTCCTCCCCGGTAAGAGCGAGGCTCGAGGACACGCAAGGGAAGGAGGAGAGTGGCAGGTCTCCTTCAGAGGAAGGGAGGGAGACGGGGGATGTGAACATGACTGACGTTGGAGGGAGCTTGCACTCCAACCATTTTCTGGCTCAGAGCCCTCCAAGGCTGCAGCACACCATACTGGCGCATCCTATCCGCCGGCACCAGAACGGAGACGCGTTGCCCCACCATGCAGGGAGGCGACAACGAAGCCTGCAAACGAAGATCATGTCGGACGAGAAAGCGACCAACATGCAGGGAAAGATGCCAGCGTTCTGCTCTTGCGAGCCGTTCAACATGCCGTTGGATATGCGGGCAACCAGGGAAGGGCTGGAGAAGCTCAACGAACTAGTCGCCCAGGCACATCGCTTGAATAGCATTCCTTCGGTTTCCTCCCCGGACCGTCATGTCCCGATCTCGCCGATGCAAGGACAGAGCGTGAACCAAGATGACGTGACGAACATGTTGATGTGCGATGAAGACCTGGACGCCCACAACTTTGAGGACAACATGTACCTCTCACCCTCGGACTCGCAGCGGTTCTTCAACAGCAGGTTCGAACACTCCTCAGCTCCCAGGAGCGACGTGAGCATCCGGTCGGTTCAACTCCAGCATGAGCCAGGGTCGATGTCACCCACCTGGGGCCTCCTTCATCACTCGCCGAGCCAGGGCAAGTGAACTGATGGCGATGCCTTGGTGTGCGGGGGCGTTGAAACCTGTTTGTACACTACAAGATTTGTTGATTGATGCTTTTTAATTAAGGTTCTGTGTTTCTTTCCTGTCATGCCACCCTCTCCACCACAGCAGGACTCTTTCTCCTCCACATGCGCCTACTCCTCTTTTGGGACGTGCTGAAAGCGGCGAGGTCTGCAGACGCGCCTCGCAGGAGAGCAAGCACTTGCATCCTGCGGCGGATTCAGTGCACGAGTGAGACAAAAGATGCTCAACCTCCTGGTAGTACTCATCTGCTGAAACGACTCGATCTCCCTCGCGCTCTCGTCCAGCATCGATCCGACGCCTCTCACAAGCTCCCAGAACTGAGCAGCGAGGTCCTGAAGTCATGACAGGCGTCAGTGCCTAGCGCCTTCATCGGTCCTCTCTCGCCTTCACAGGCCTGTCCTGCCGGATGGACCAACTGATGTGTGACAGCCGCGCTGGTACAGTAACCAGCGCCCACAGATTCTTAGAAACGACACGAGCGCGATCGAGCAGCCCTAGGAGACGTGAGGAGGCGGGTAGGAGGGGGGGGAGGGGATGAGGGAACGGAGAACTTCACCTTTCGCTTGCCTCGCTTTGGAAAAGACTCCTTGTAGCCCGAAGAGAGAAGCGCCGCATGCCTCCTCGCTCGAAGGATCGCATCCGATCAGCCGCACTTTCACCCTCAGGGGCTGCGAAGGATCCACAGGAGCCACGATGATTCGGGTAGACAACGATGCTTCATCATACTCTACACTCGCTGGCACGGGACACCAAACGCCCTCCCCGCAGAGACGCTTGACGTCAACGGAATGAGCAGGAGGGACGTGCTGGAGCCGAAAGCGAATCTCGCGCTGAGCAGGAGCCTTGTGAAATGTGCCCTTGCTGCTGACGGCGATCAACAATTCTTGCTTGTGAACGTGCAGCTTCCAGCGCACTGCAGTGCGCATGCTACTCCCCATGCTCTTGACATAATCAGTGGTCAGGCCATCATCTTCGTAGAGGAAGCCGGACCCTTTCTTGCTGTCCGCCACAAAGATTTGAAATTCGATGCTTCCGGCATCACTCGCATGCCTGGCAAGGCCCAAAGTTCTCTTGTTCGTCGTGTTCATCGGCAGCCTTGGCAACACCGCCCCGGCCCTGATGAACAATGGGACTTGCGAAATGTCGAAGTGAATTCTGCGCACATCGTCGCTTCCTACGTGGACAGAGCCGGTGCAGAGGCAGACGTAAGTCTTCCCGCTAGGGATCCAAACGTCCTGCAGTGCGAAGATACCTCCGCCCGGGGACGACACGTCCTTCTCGATGGGCTGCACGACAGGACTGGCAATGATGTCGGCTCCCAACAGATACTGTGGGAGGAACCCGCTGCGATTTCCAGCGTACGCCAGCGCTTCTTCGGGGTACTCGTGGTACATGGGACGCACCATCATCTTCGTAGAGGAAGCCGGACCCTTTCTTGCTGTCCGCCACAAAGATTTGAAATTCGATGCTTCCGGCATCACTCGCATGCCTGGCAAGGCCCAAAGTTCTCTTGTTCGTCGTGTTCATCGGCAGCCTTGGCAACACCGCCCCGGCCCTGATGAACAATGGGACTTGCGAAATGTCGAAGTGAATTCTGCGCACATCGTCGCTTCCTACGTGGACAGAGCCGGTGCAGAGGCAGACGTAAGTCTTCCCGCTAGGGATCCAAACGTCCTGCAGTGCGAAGATACCTCCGCCCGGGGACGACACGTCCTTCTCGATGGGCTGCACGACAGGACTGGCAATGATGTCGGCTCCCAACAGATACTGTGGGAGGAACCCGCTGCGATTTCCAGCGTACGCCAGCGCTTCTTCGGGGTACTCGTGGTACATGGGACGCACCAGAGCCTCTCCAGGTCCGACGTCGAAAGATCTCCACAGAGAGGTGTAGAGATACGGAAGGAGCGCCTCCCGCTGCCAGAGAGCATGACGGATGGATTCGAAAGCTCTCTCACCTGCTTCCCAGGGGAATATGACGGCGCAAGAGCCCTTCCCACCCTCCTCCACGTCCGCACAGTCCCCTGCAGACATCCCCCGGTCGTGCATTCTGCATACTCCTGAGACCGAGCCAAACTGCATCCAACGGACGTAGAGTTCAGGGTCATCGCCGGGGCCAACCAGGTCGTGGCTCCACATGCTGAAGCCCACGTTCGCTGCGGTGAAAGTGAAGTAAGGTTGGAACGCCAAGTTCTCCCAGCTGAGCTCGCGCACATCCCCGGAAAACCCGACCTGATACCTGTGAGCTCCCAGCCCCCCCCAGCGCGATAGAACCTGCAACAAGGTAAGATGGTGTACGATGCACGCCCAGACACATCAAGTATGAAGTCAGATTCAGCCTCACCATGCTTCTTTTCCCCGAGCCCCGTCGAGCATGATCCGTCGATCTGACGTGAGCCGTCCATATCGTCGGGTTCTGCTTGCCTCCAATCGCACCGTGTGACGCCTGGCCCTGCTGCCAGTCGATCCAGAAAAAATCGACGCCGGTATCCTCTACATCGGCAAGCACAACATCTTCTAGTGCCATGATGCTTTTTTCATCTGTGATGTTAAACGGGATTGTGCGAAAGGTTGAATCACTGAGACGACATTGAAATCCGTCCATTTCCTTCAATAGTGTGCAAGCCTTCTCGTACATATCTTCGTAGGGTGCAACGCCATCGGCATCGTGCAAATTCACAGAGACGGCCAAACTGTTGTTGTGGAGGAAGGACATGGTGTCACGTGGGAATGGAAATAGATTTCGATCGAACGAATATCCCGTCCATCCATTCTTCGTGTGCCAGTTCATGTCAAGAACAAAAACGTCAAGGGGGACATTCTTCCTAGAAAATTCCTCCACGATGTGAACAACGTCTTCATGGCAAAGGTTGATCCAACGAGTCCACCAGACTCCGAGCGCGTACTTGGGGATCATCGCAATCTTGCCTGATACCCGGGCATAGTCGTTGAGCGCTTGTTTGTAAGCGTGCCCGTAAGCAAAGAGGTACAAATCCTCTTCATCCTGGTTTTGTCCGTCCCACCAGTCGGTGTCGTCACGCAGGCAGAAATTCTGCGAGTCGTCGACAACCACCCAACCATCGCGAGAGATGATCCCCCAGTCACAGTTGCAATCCGATCGATCCCATCCGCAGCTGTTTCCATTCTCCTGCACCAGCTCTGTGCAGTTGAGATTCAGGACGGAGGCATCGTCCAACCTGGCGATGCAGCATGAGCACACAAATTCGTTGTCATCCTCCCCAAACTCCGTTTACGTTCGCAAGGTTCCCAAGAGGTTCCCGTGATCTCTTTCCCCATAGTGCCAACTCTCGAAGGCTGCAGATTGTCATGAGCTCGATGCAAATAGACTGGGAGGTTGCACTTACCGGAGTTGGGATTCAATCCCTTGACAAACAAGGTCGAAGCAGAAAAGCTGCTGTTTATCTGATAGTGTACGCTGATCTCCTTGGTGGATATGACGATGAATCTGTCACGCTCGAGCTGAGATTGCTCGTCATTGTTAAAGACTCGGCAAACCTCTCTCCATCTGCCCGCGATTCCTCCTCCACTCTAAAGAATGGAACAGGAAGCTCCCGGTTTATGAAAGCTGCAATGAACTCGTCATCAAGAAGCCCTGACAGAACAGGCTCTTACTCAACGTCGCTCTGTCCTCAAAGACACCACGAGAAGAGAACTCCATCCGCACAAGACGGTCGGTGAGCACAGTGAACCGAGCGAACGTGCCTGTGCGCACATCATGGTCCATCGTGCTCAGGAGACGGCGCTGTGCTTCCCCTCCTCCTCACCTGAGATCACCATGGCTGACTTCCTGGCGCGTGGAATCCTTTTTCCCCATGGTCCTTCAGCGAGAGGCGGCTTCCCCAGTGCCATACCCGCCAACAGCAGCATCAGCAGCAACCTCCTCGCCACACTCCCCGCCATGTCGCCACAAACTCGGCACTTCATTGGGCTGGCAGCCCGGGGTACCACCCGGCCCCGGGCCGTCAGATGCACCATGACTATTTTTCTATACTTCAAGTCTCTACTAAAAGGGTCAATTGGTCACGTGTCACTATTTCCATAAAAGTTGTTTTCGGAAAACCGAATAAGCTAGATTGATTTCTCGTGTAGTTTACTACTTACAAAACATGTTTGGGACCGTGACATTAGGGGCTCTAGTCTCATTCCAGAAAAAATGGCGTGATATCGACTGTAATTGATAACAAAAGACACGCCAACTATAACTCAAATCCTACTTTAAATTCTGTAACGGTTGTACTGGTACGAAAGGAATGGTACAGAAGGTCCGAGATACACTGAGCTGGTAAGTATTATCACTGCGATATCCGTGGAAAGTTGGTACAAAATTTAAATTTGTACTGGAACGTTGGCTCGTCTTGTACCGTTTTTTTCTTGTATATGTTAGTATGCTGAAGGCTACACAATACAAAATTTGTGGTACAAAACTTAAAAGAGGAGAGCCCCCCCTACAAATATTTGTACAAAAGTCTGTATTGTTAAAACCCTAATATGATCAATCTCCGGCACCACCCAATCCACCCCCCAAACTCACCAGATCTAGATACTATAGGTATGGGTGGGTTGCTCGCGGATGACCGTCAGCGAATTGTCACCACTTGGAGTCAGCTGTCGACCACCCTACCACCTTAAAACCACCCCATGCGCAAGAGGACCAAAATTTTCAATAAAGCACCGCTCCAAATTCCATAATTCTTCCCCTCCAAACGAGGGTAGGTCGACAAGTTGCCCGGTGTCCATAGCACCCTACCCCGCCTTATGAAAATCGTGCAGAGGACCCTACCTTTGCTAATTCAAACTACCCCTCCTGCATCCTGTTTCCCGCTTGCACTGTCCTTCTTCCCTTCTCCGCCCTTCGAACGCATTCTTCTGTATTCCATTATGTACATCTAACTCGACTCTCTCATCAAATCTGCCTGATTCAAAGTGCCCGACGCTTGGGTCCGCCATTTACATTGCAATCGCTCCGAGCTCCTTTCTTTTGTGCATCGTTTGAATTTGACGTTTGCCCGAGGTGTAAAGAAGTCTTGTTGCCCTGTACAACCTCCTCAGAGCATCGAAAATTACAGCATAGCTTTAACTGAGTCATATCCTCCCAACCATGGTGAGCACGCCGGTTGCTGGCCATGTAAAGTGGGAGCCTGATGCCTCTGGCCGCCCCAAAAAGGTTCTACCGTCAGAAAGCCCTGCCCCCACTTCGGATGATGCAACGGCGAATGAAACTAATGCTGAGCCTTCTGCAAAGCAAGCCAAGTCCTCGTCTGGTGGGGAATATGACCCTGCAGAAGCAGAAAAGGCCTTAGCTTGGAAGAAGGAGAAAAGAAGAAAGCAGAACAGAGAAGCCCAGCGCAGACGAAGGGACAGGCTCATGAACCAGCACAAACAAAAGCAGGCAGAGATGGAAGCTTCCAGCAACACCCAGCAAGTGCCTGTACAGCCTTCTAACAATCCTGCAGGTCAGCCATTTGGTGGGAACATGATGTCCATGGGATTTCAGATGCCCCAGAACGGAATGCAGGTTGCCCAGCCCAACATGGATCAGAACGAACAATTCGGCATGAATATGAACCAAATGAATATGCGGTATAACAACTTTGCAAATCCAGCATTGCAGCAATCATCCATCATTGGTGGAACACAAATGAACCCGCTCCAGAGGCAAAACTCTTTCGGTGCGCCGCCGCAGCTGATTTCTCAGAATTCTTTTCAAGATTGGAACTCGGCGAATGTTGGGCTCATGCAGAACTACACAATGCAGAGAAGAGATTCTTTCAGTGGAGTTCCACAAGGAATGCCGAACTTCTCGGCTGGGATGCCTCAACAGGGTTTCAACACCAACGACCAATCCCAAAATCAGCCTAACCCGAACTTGGGTGATATGCGGCCCCAAGGTTCTTTCAGTGACAAGAATTGGAATCTCGGGTTTGCTCCCTTGCTGGGTCAAAACTCCTTCTCCATGGGTAACGATGTAAACCCCTTGTTCAAGCAGGGCTCCTTCGCCCCGCCAGACTTTGGAGTCCTTTTGCGTCAGGACTCTGAGAAGATTGCTGCCGGCAATCTGACCAAGCAGCTATCCTTTGGGAATATTAAGGGGGGACTGGATCCTTCAGTCTTCGGGCAGGATCCACTAATGCAGCCAAACACAAACAATTCGTCGCTATTTAAACAAGACTCTTTCAGTTTCGGAGGAGGCAATACACAGGTCAACAATTTGCAAGCTCAGATGTTCAGGCAGGATTCGTTTTCCAGATTACCACGACAAGATTCGTTCAATCTCGGAGGGGCGGTTGCACCTGGGTTGTTTCGTCAGGATTCTCTCGGTAAATTGCCCGGATTAGGGGGGGATGCACCACCCCTGTTCCGGCAGGACACCCTGGGCAGTGTGTCTGGACTAGCGACAAACCCCTTGGTAAGACAAGATTCGGCCTCAAGGCTGGTAAGTTGCGATACGTGCTTCTATTTGCTGCTGATCAATCTGACTTTCGTTGAAGGGTATGATGAACATGGGAATGGGAATGGGAATGGGAATGGGAATGGGAATGGGAATGGGAGCTCAACAGGGGATGATGCAGGTAACACATCAAGACAAGACAAAGATATCTCATGCCATACCGCAGGGAGGTATGAATCGGAATTTTATGGCTGGCAACCTTGCGCAGAGTGGCATTGCTGGAATGCCAGGGGCACAGTCGCAGCTCCAACAAGCTCAGCTTCCCATGCAACAAAACGTCCCTCAGCCTCAGCAACAAATGCAACAGCCTCCTCCTCCTCCTCAGCAGCAGCAGCAGCCTGCACAGTCCCAACAGCAGCAGCAACAGCCTGGACAGCAACCGCTTCAGGGCACTCAAAACTTCGGAGCGCCCAAAGTTGACGAGAATTGGAATGCTTCCCAGCCAGGTTGGCATGATTGTGCTTTGACGAGATAGCTCGTTGCTGATCCGAGCTGCAGGGAACTCACAGCCGATGGGTAATCTTCCTCAGACATCATCGGCTCCAACAGAGTCTCGTTCGGTATGCTCGTAAAGTTCTGAATGTTTGTTTTGTGACTGGTTTCTGAATGTAGAGCAACGACTCGCAATAGTTAGGAACTGAGACAGAACTCGCTGAATATCCCCGATTCCTTGTATCATGTCAGTTTCCAGCATGTAGATTTAATTGAAATCGACGGGGCCAACTTCGAAGCGGCCTGGCTTTGCCCGTCTTGATACGATTTTGATTTGAAATATTTTTTTCCCGGAGGATTATCCCTGTGAAATTAAAATAACAACTGGCCTGCCATATTGCCCTCCAGCATGTCTGTTTACTCTTTCATAACAGACAGTTACTTTGTTATGACATGAGATATCGCAGCATTCACATCGCACTCCACTTCCAAGGCACGACATTTTGCGACTTCTTCCCTTCTCGCCCCTCCCATCGCTGTGACCTCTTGATATGGACGCAAGGTTCAATGGGGCCATCGGCATCACCGATTCCTCCTCCTGCCCTCTGCTCCTGACCTCGTTTCTGCGCAGATCCTTCGAGAACTATGTGAAGGCTGCAAACTCTTCCGAGAGATTTCCTTGCACTTGGCTCTATCGCCGACATCAACCGTCGGTAGGCAGTAGGAGGGCAAACATCACCTTCAGCTCTTGCGAGCTCAAGTTCATTTCTTCTATCTGCATCATGCTCGCCTCCTGTTGATAGTTGAGCTGCGGAGAGCAAGAAACTAGCGTCACTCACCATCCGCAAGGTTTCAATCTCCTGCTCCAACGCCGTCGGGTCGGCACAGCTGCGACTTGGGGTGAGGCAGGAGGGGGAGGCATGCGAGCCAACACACCTGAAGAGAGGAACATGTCGAAAGAGGCATGCGTAGAGCGCTTTTCGTTCGTTGCTCTGATGAGGGCGACAGTGAGGGTACGGATCACGAGGATGATCGAGAGGACGAGGGCGAGGAGGACGAGGAGGATAAGGGCGAGGAGGTGGTGGTGGAGCAGAAGCCAAAGGAGGGGGAGAGGATGTGTAACAGCAGCAGCAGCTGCTGCTGCTAGAGGAGCAAGGGGCTGCACCATACCTCGAAGACGACTGTGTTGATGTAGTCTACCATATTCCTGTGCTCATCCGTCGATTGCTGAGGCCTGAAAGGCTCCCAGGCCTTCTTGTCCCCTTCCCGCACCTGGGACATAGCTTCCCGCAAGGTTGGTTTGTATATCCTATTGCTCCTGCTGCTATCAAGTTCCAACGTCTTGGGACCAACTCCCTGCTAGCCGTCAGCATCCTTGGACCCCAAGGGCTCGGAGCACCTGCAACAGGGTCCACCGAGGCTTCCCGGACCCATCGGACTCGTCGATGTAGACAGGAGGAGGCTCTGCGGGGTCGAAGATGGCGAAACTTGCAAGGGCCTCAGTACGAAAGCTGCTTCCATGGGACAACGAAAGGAGGGCGGGAGGAGGGCGGGGGGGGGGGGGGAGGAGGGAGAGGCAGAAGGCTGGAGTAGACGAGGAGGGAGGGAGAGAAGGAGGGAGGGAGAGGAGGAGGGAGAGGTCGGGGAGGGGATCGGCAAGTTCACCCTGTTGAGAGACGAGGACGGGGAGTGGTCTGTCGGGCGGAAGAGGAGGACGAGGAGGACGAGGAGGACGAGGAGGACGAGGAGGACGAGGAGGACGAGGAGGACGAGGAGGACGAGGAGGACGAGGAGGACGAGGAGGAGCGTCAAGATCGGAAGCTGCGGCACCTGCAAGGGCTGAGGACAGCAGGGATGTCGCTTGTCAGCCACTCGGAGTATCTCTTGCCGGAGCATGCTTCCACACAGGTTGGGCATCTCGCCTGTGTGTACTTGGCTTCCTCATACCTAGGGGGGGGACGTCAGTAGAGGATGCAGCTGCTGCCAGTACCTGAGCTGGACCTTCTCGATCCTCTCCTCCAGCCTCCGCGTCCCCTCTCTCCCCTTGTACTCCCTGTTGTCGACGCTCCCCACCGCCGTCAGGAAGAAGCTGTCACACATGGCGCAGTTGCACACGACTCCGATGTCATGCGGCATGCCCCCGCATGCAGAGCCTGAGGTATCAGCGGCATCAGCGTCGCAGAATCCAAGAGCTCTCGCTGCTCCAAGGGGTCTTCTGCCTTCCCCCCCCCCCCCCTTTGCCCCCTGCCTCCTCCTGCACCTCTCCCCCTCTCCTCCTCCCCCCCCTCTCCTCCTCCCCCCCTCTCCTCCTCCCCCACCTCTCCTCTGCCATCCCCCCCCTCTCCTTCCCTCATCGCCCATCGCTCCACTCGTTTATATCTTCAGTCTCGGTCTAGTCTTCCCTCCCTTGCGCCCCTATAAGGACCAACGGAAGGCGGGGGGAGGGAGGGGAGGGAGGAGAGGGAGGGGAGGAAGGGGAAGGGGAGGGAGGAGGGGAGGGAGGGGAGGAAGGGGAAGGGGAGGGAGGAGGGGAGGGAGGAGGGGAGGGAGGACAGAGAGGAGAGGCAGTGACAGAGAGAGAGCGATGGAGGTTCGGATACCTTGGACATGTACATTACAATCAACTTCATAGACTCGTTTCAGTTCTCCTGGTACGAGACCTCCGGCAGCTCAAGCAGCACCCGCGCTACATCTCTGGGCAGACGCTCGCCATGCAGCATCTCGTGCTCGTTGTCGGCCCCGCCCTCCTCCCCCTGCTGCTGCTGCTGCTGCTGCTGCTGCTGCTCCACCTGCCGCAGCTCTGCTGCCCTTGCACAGAGCAAGTAGGCAGACACCTGACAGTAGGGTGAGCTTTCATCTAACCCCCAGCTCCTCCTCACCTGGCTCCGAGTTTCTCTCCGCCCCCTATACTCCACCTGCTGCAGCCACCAGCTCTCTCTGGCCTCCTGCCCCACGCAAGAGGCAGCTGGGGCTCCCTCAGCGAAGAGCTCTTGCACGTCCTCGATCGTCACCACATCCTGGGGGCAGGAGTGAGGCAGGAGCAGAGCTCGTGTACTACTCTACGTGCTTCTTGGCCGCCTCCTGCGCCTGGTGGAAGGTAGAGTCGGCTCCCTCCTCCTGCACCTGTGCTCAGCAGCCTGGAGCGAGGGGGGAAAGAAGGGAGCGGTTCCTTACCATGTCGTGTATCTTCCTCTGCCCTATCGCGTACACTCGCTCTTCCACGCTGTCCTGCCGCGTCGGGTCAACCGGAGGAGGAGGAGGAGGAGGAGAGGAACCCGAACGATGAAGCGATGAACGACCGTCTCCTTCGTCTGCCCAATCCTATGCACGCGTCCGATCGCTTGTGCCTGTGAGGCGATTATTCCTCAAAACTTCCATTCCCTTGGCTCCACTCCTCCCACCTCCCTCCTCTCCTATCCTGGCTCCCTCCTCCAGCTCCCTCCTCCTCCAGCTCTCTTCACCTCCACTGCGACGTTGAGCAGCGGTTCGATCAAGAACACGTGCGTCGCCTCGGTCACGTTGAGCCCGTTGGACCCGTTCTTGAAGGGCAGCAGCAGCACCTGGCCAACAGCTCAGCCCCTCTCCATCGCACCGACCAGCTCTAGACCTGGAGGAGGGGATCGGCCTTGAAGCGCGCCACCCCCTTGCTGATTCCTTTCCCTCCCTGCCAGGTCCACGTCACCAGGAGCAGACAAGTCCAGTCAGCCTCGCCTCGCATCGTTGATGGAAAATGCCGTTCTGCTCTAGAGCATGCGAGATGATCTTCAACATGTCTTCCCATTCGCTGAAGACGATCGCCTTCTCCCCCTGCTTCAGCTGGCGCTGAACGTCACTGCCTCCTCCTCCCTCCTCCCTCCTCCCTCCTCCCTCCTCCCTCCTCCCTCCTCCCAAACCTCCCTCCTCTCCCAACCTGCATGATCCCCTCCAGCAGCGCCACGATCTTCGTGCTGCTCCTCTGTCAGTCTTCTTTCTCAGCTCACAGTCTCGTCCCACCTGTAGCTCCCGCGGATCTTCGACTCTCCTTTCCCCTGCCCAACGTCTCAGCAGGGCGAGGCCCATCGCTCCCTCCCACCTGCTGCTTGTCGTCCACCACGTACGCCAAGTCCCCGCTCGGAAACACCATCCTGCATATCGGACATCGCTGCCTCGTCCCCGTCTTCCTGCTCAGGAGCGTCTGCGAGCAGTTGAAGCACAGGACGTGACCGCAGGGCTGCAGCACGACCCCGATTCGTCTGGCGTCCTCATGGCAGATGGGGCACTCAAAGAGCGGCTCTCCGTCCTCCTGCTCCTCCTCCTTCACAGACTTCTGCAGGTGGTCCAAGTTCTTCAGGTAGCTGTGCTGCCCGCACGCGTACTGCAGCCTCCCCTTGGCGTCGGACAGCTCGAAGTCCAGCTGTCTCGTCCTCTCCTCCACGTGGCTTGGCAGAATCTTGTACAGCTCCTCCTCAGCCTCCACCTCCTCTCCTTCATACCTGCAGCCCTGTCAGCCTCGCAAGAGAAGCCGCCTCCTCTTACCGGGTCCTGATACGCATCGTGGCCATCTCCAGCTCGTCCAGCTTTTCCAGCCGCTCCCTCTGCGAGCGAGATGAGGAGAGAGCCAGAGAGCAGAAGGGGGATGAGAGGACGAGAGGGTGAGAGGGTTGCAAGCAGGAGAGCAGGAGAGCAGGAGAGCAGGAGAGCAGCAAAGGTGACGTCACCTGCGCCTTCCACAGCTGCCCCCCCCTGTCAAACTCCTTCTTCAGGCTGTCCCACAGCTGGATGTGAGCCTTGGCTTTCTCCAGCAGCGATGGGTGGCCTTTGAGGTGCTTCTCGATGGTCCGGATCACCAGCTCGAACTCCGACGCCTTCCTCTCCGACGACTCAGCAAGCAGGTCGTAGCCGCGGCGAACGCCTCCTGCTCCCTCTCCCTGCTCCAGCTGCTCCTCCCAGTAGGCCAAGGCCCGCTGCCCCTCCCTCCTGTTCCGCTCGTAAGTTCTCTCCGCCATGTGGTAGAAGAGCCGATTCTTGTAGCGGTCCATCTCGTCCGACAGCAGGCAGTGGGGGCATCGTGGCCCGACCTTGCGGAAATTCGCCTTACAGTCGCCGCAATTGCCGCACAGCTCGACATCTCGCTCCGTCGGCTCTTTTGACAGCCTGTGGAGGCCGTCGATCAAGGTCTGACGGGCAGCCAGGAGCCTCTCCTCTGCTCGGTCCAGCAGGAGTTTCAGGCCGTCCAGCGAGGTGAAGCGGCCGACCATGCTCTCCTCCCTGGTCGCGTGCATTCCGGTCCGATAGTACTGGCGGCCCTCCGACAGCACGGTGTGTATGTCGTCTAGCAGCTTCCCTCCTTTCGGGGAGTTCTGCAGCAGGGTGATGGCAGGGATGAACCAGCACCTTCCCACTTCCTCCAGCTTCGCCTCCACCTCCTTCGAGCACGCGGTGAAGCGATGCAGATGCTCTGTCACGTTCACACGCTGCGCCGCACAGTATCCCTCCCTGATCGACTTGGCCTGCTCCTCTAGCTTCGACACGTCCGGGTCGACCCCCCGGGAGATCTCCGCGAGGTTAAAGACGGTGTGCAGCTGTTGGAGCGAGTCCGTCTTGATGCCCTTTCCTATCCCTTCCTCCACGGCGCGCAGAGCGTTCCTGTAGTGCCTCGCTGCCACTTGCTTCTCCTCGTTGATCAGCGCCATGGCAGCAAGCCCGTTCTCCGCTGCGATCACACACCGCTGAGCATCCTCACACTCGATCCGCGCCCTGTCGATCAGCTGCTCCAGGATCTCCTCCATGGTCAGCACCTTCTTGTGCACGTTGTGGATCCCCGACCCTCCCACCTGAGGGTGACTACAAGCCTGTCGAAGCTTGAGAAGCTGATTCAAGAACCTCCGGGACGCATTGCTGTCCAACGACCTCACCCCGAGCTTTCGGCAAGAGGACAGGACGGATTTGGCCGCCTCAGACACGTAGGTGTGCTGCCTGCGGTAGAACTGATACTCGATGGGCGAGAAGTTGAGCTTCACTTCTACCGTCTTCTGCTCGGGCAACTTGATCTCATCCAGCACGTCCTTCTTCTGCGACCTCCACATCAGCCGGTGGACCCACGCATCGAGGCGGGCCCGGGCTCTCTCCAGCCCGGCCATGTAGGGCATCTGCACGCAGTTGAGCCAGAAGGGTCGCTGATCGAAGGGTCCGGCATCGAGGAAGACTGCAAGACCGTGCAGATCCTCCAGGCCTCGCTGGATGGGGGTGCCGGTAACGCACCACCTCCTCTGCGATCGCAAGAGGGCGGCCATCTGCGAGGTGTTGGCAGTCCTTGACTCAACCATCTGCGCCTCGTCGAGGCAGACTCGCCACCACTCGACGCGGAGGAGAGGGCTCTTGCTCACCTTGTACTTCTTCTCATTACGGAGCAGGCGACTCTGATCGCTCTTGTAGTAGATGTCAGTGCGCAGAACCTCGTAGGTGGTGAGGACGAGGTCTGAAGCAAGGATGGCCTTCATGATCTCTTCTGCGTCTCCACCATCCTTGAGCCCGTTGTAGACGTAGATGCGAAGCTTGTTGGGAGGAAGGTGCCGCTCAATCTCCGAGATCCACTGGTGGAGGATAGGCATCGGACAGACGATGAGCGTGGCAGAGACCGTTTCCATTGCTTCCGTCTCCTCCTCCTCCTGCCCTCCGACTCTCCAGTACCTTCCTTCGCACTGACCAAAGAGTCCAGCAGCATGATACACTTTCTTGTCACGAGCACCAGGATCTTTGCTCGTCATGGATCTGACGGTGTTCTTCCCCACTGGCATCCAATAGATCCTTGAATCCAGAGCCGTCCTTCCCTCCACCTCCACCAGCATCTCCTCTATCTGCTGCTCTCCTCCTGACAACCTCACGCCATGCACCCTCGCTCTCTTCCACATCCTCTTGTCCATGACCAGGACCTCCGACCCCACACAGAGTCCCCCAGGGACGATGAAGTTCCCAGGAAAGTTACCCACCACCACTTTGAACCGCTTGGAGGTCAAATCGTCGACCGTGAGCGGGTCTGCAATGAAGTTACAGGCACTAAGACACGCTAGAGGCTGAGTGGGCAGCGGCTGAGCAGACCTGGCTCGCTTCTCTTCCTCTTCCCGAGCTCGAAATCTTCATCGTCGCCATAGTCAACGGCTTTGTGCGAGGAGGCGATGAGCTCGAGCAGCTCCACAGTCTTCCCGAGGCCCATCTCATCGCACAGCACACCTCCCTGCTTCCAGTCAGCTCTCTCCTCCGATGCCTCTGACTCTGAGTACCCTCAGATCGTCGACGAGATGCGTCGGCCGCGTCGCAAGGTGTCCAGTCCACTCGCAGTAGAAGAGGCTGCGTTTCCTCCTCCCGATGCGACAGCACTTGAGGGCAGGATGCAGCAGCGGCTCCCTTTCTTCGACAGGTTTCTCGCGCTCCTCCATCCAAGAGACAGCTCGCAACTGATACGGGCTGATGCAACCAGCAGGAAAGGAGCACACAGCAAGTCAGGGGGCGGGAAACAAGGGCTGAGTGAGCACCGGAGCAAGGGATGAAGGACGTCGCTCTGCTGCCTCCTGCTGCTGAAGTCTTTGTGCTTCATGGCCTCGTACACCCGATCAAGATCGAACGTTGAGTCTGCGGCATGTCAAGACCCTCCCAGTCCCCACTACCCTCACCTTGAACCTTCGGGCCGCTCCGGTCCACGAGGAATGGAGCGAACCACGTGAAGAGAACGGCCAAGGCGTCGGCGTGCCTCAGAGCCGGGTACAGGCTGCTGAGGGTGTCTGAGGAGACTGCTGTCCTGTCGATGACGCTGAACACATGTCTCAGGTCAGCTGGGGGAAGCGAGGGAGCTGGGAGGGGACGAGGAGGGAGCGAGGAGGATGAATTTGGGTGCCTGACCTGGGGTGGAATTTAAGCAGGAGGCAAATCCGTCCTGCCTCCTTGACAACTACTTGGACGACGATGACCTCAAAGTATAGGAGCCTTTTCATCGCAGAGAACATCTTCGGGTCAAGAGCGCCATCTCCGTCCATGAAGTCTATCGTGCCTTCCAATGCCGACACCAAGTTGACTAGCTCGCCTTTCTCCTCCTCGTAGAATATCTCAAACGTACGGCTCACTCCTCCTCCTTCCTCCTCCTCCATCCTCTCTTCCTCGAGCCTGAATTGGAGCCGACGATCAGGAAGGGACATTCTCTCCGGAAGGTTTCCGTCGTCGAGTTCTAGAGTCAATTCGCCAATAGCCCAATCCTCCTCCTCCTCCTCCATTTCGCCCTCTTCCGTCTCCTCTTCGTCCTTGTCCTCCGTCTCTTCTTCCTTCTCCTCTTCTTCCTCCTCCATGACGGACTCTGCCACTCCTCGCTCGTCCTTTCCTGGAACCATCAGCGCCCGCGCAAACCGTGCGCTTGCTCGCGCCATTGGAGGTCTTTGGGGGAAGGACATATGTGTTCTGTAGGGGTACTAAATAGGGGAAAGAGGGGGTGGTCATCGTTGGTGCAGCAATCCAAAAAAGGCAGGTCTCTTTGGGAGGGAGGGGAAGAGAAGGGGGGGGGGGGGGGGGAGGAAGAGGAGGGGAAGGGGGGGGGGGGGAAAAAGAAGGGAAGAGAAGAGAAGGGGAGGGAGCGGAAGAGAAGTGGAGGGTTGATTGCCCTTTCCTTCTTGTAGTTAGGCGACATGTTTAATATTCCTCCCTTGTCTCTACTGGGCTATTCCCTCAGCCTCTTTCTTCATGTCTGCTCCGTCTCCCCGTATGTCCCTGTCTTCTCTTCCCACATTCGCCCCATCAACTCATCCGCATCTTCATCATGACAGCGACGCACCAACCTCCCGTGGGTCCTAGACCAATCTCTATGTATCGACAATTTTAACCTTGCTATTTACATTCACTTGCCGTAAAACGGCTCCCCCTCATCGTCTGTGTAGAAGGGGCCATCATTCTCCTCCGGCTGCAGATACTGGCACTCTGCCAGCACCTGATCGCGCAAGTAGCACCTGCGCTCGTACGCCTCCAGGGCCTCCTTCGGAGGGTCGTTGAGCATGGAGTCCAGGATGGCCTTGAAGACAAGGAGACAGTGCTCGCAGATCACGGTGATCCACACGCGCTCCACCGGCGTCATCTCCGGGAAGTAGAAGAACAGGCCATGGCTGGTGAACCCGACGAGAGCGCAGTTGGTCAGGATGCAGCACGTGCTGATAATGTCCAGGATCACTTGCCAGGTGCCGATGTCCGCTGCCACCTTGGTCGGGGGCCTCTGAACGCCCTTGAGGAGCTTGTACGCATCCGTGCGGATCTCCACAAGGTTGTTCATGAGGGAGAGAGCTGCAGTTAGTGGGAAAGCTGCCGCAAACAAGGTGACGTAGCCGAACTGAATGACCATCTCCTGGTACTCCTCGAACACCCCCGAGTACTGGTCAAGTTTGCTCTGCTTCTCTTCCTGCGACATGACCATGACGTTTTCCGCCTCCTCCGACTGCACCTCGTGGCTCTTGGCCGCCCGCTCTTTGAGGAAGATTCGCACCCGGTTCTTCATGATCGGGAGGCCCACCTCCATGAACTGAGCGATCGTCAGTTGGAGGATGAATACTGCAGCCAATGTCCCCGCCAGCTCCGGCATGCAGTGCCACTCAGGACAGTGCATGTCTACCCCGTAGACCAACATGCTGTTCTGCACGAAAGCCACGAAGAAGCAAGCGAAGTACGCGTTGACGATCTTGAAGCAGAAATCCTTCGCAATAGTGGCGTCCTCATACTGCAAATAGAGAAGACATCAGGAAGATCAACTCTACGATTCAAAGAGATACTGACCTGAGTTTCTGTCTGCCAATTTTCAAAGTCCGTGAGCAATTTGAGCACGTACTGATATATCTTGTTGAAGACCAAGATGGAAGTCGCTTGGCAGCATCCCCCGATGCTTTTTCCCACTGACGATAGACCTGCATAAAGTTCAGCATTCCTTGAACATTTTGCTGCTTCAATCACCGTGTGGCTGGAACTTTTGAACCAGTCGAAACTTGAACAAGGCAATCGCGCACACCACTGCAATGACCGTGGCTATGAAGGTGCATACAACCAGTGCAGAAAGGCACAGAGCTATGTTTCTCCAAAGTGCATCTGAAGTACAATGAGATGAGACACTCTCTACCACCCGGCATATAAATGTACCTGGGTAGCGAACCACCTCGTTCTTATAATCGTGCATCCTTTCACGTGTGTAAGGATTCTGGATAAACTCTTTCCGATCTTCCTCTTCGTCCTCGAAAGTCAAAGTATCCCACTCATGTTGATATGTCTTCTCTACTCTTTTCCACCTTGGCAAGCCACAATGGTTACAAAGAAGTACTCTAGGAAAACACAAGCATACCCCGAAACAAAAACAACCGCCCAGACAGTGATAAAGCAACAGTACAAGGGAACCCATGGGTTGTCCATACTGCCCGTAAGTACGTGCGAGTATAGGTTGCTTAGAAAAAGAATAAACCCACAAATAGCCGGAATCCACAGCATCGTTGTGTAGTAACCAAGCCATACGAAATACAAAGCGATCTTTGTGCCAAAGTACTCTCGAATCGCTTCAATGGGTTGTGCTCGTCTCCACTGCCACACCCATCTCTGTTCAAGCCAGTCTCTACTCTGATCACGATGCAAGCCGAAGCACTGCTTGATTACTTGGTTCTTTTGCAGCTGATCCAAAGCAGTATTACCAGGAAGGACGTTCTCTTTTGGAATAAGCTGCGGTCCCATAGCGCGCTCGTCCTCGTCGTTGATTATGAACTCTAGGATTTGAAGTTGTTGTGCGCTGCTAAAGAGAGTCCCTTCACTGGAATATTCGTAGAAAGGTTGAAGGTACTGCTTGAAAGGTGTCCATGCTCCCTCATTCTTTTCTTCTCTCCCATCCAAATCTTGTTGCCTCAACCTCAGCTTCAACAGTCCGCGTGTGCCCATCACTTCCGCTACTTGCTTCTGTCTTTTTTCAGATGCCGACACAAGTACAAACACCTCATCGCGAGCAATGGACACAGTCTCTCTGACTAGTAAGTCCGCTGCCCTCAGTTTGTCGATGATTGGCTGCCGAATCTTTCTCGTCATGGAAGTCTTTAGATTGCCAGTGTCTTCATCCTCGTCGCGATCGAAAACGATACAGAAGCTCGCAAGGGAATCAGGAAATGAATTTCTTTCCGAGGCAAGAAGCTGCTCAGTCTCTTCATCGCTGCCTACGGCCTTCGACTTGCGGCCGGCCGCACGGCGCGACATTTAGTTTAACTTTCCCTGTTTCGAATGAACTTGTCGGTATGTCAAGGTGACGAATCTAATCATTCCAATCTAAGGAGAAGCATACAGGCATTTGATCGAGAATCCCTGCCCAAAACTTCAGTCAGCACACTGCGGGGTAAATCCTTCTTTGACAAAGCAGGTCAGGGAAGCATTTGTTGAATTCTTTAAGAAAGATCCTGACACATGTCCTCCTTTTGTTTCAGCCTCAACATTGTATCCAAAATTTTCTTCTACCGCTATGCTACACATTCACTGTGACTCGCGAGCATCCTCCTCCACATTCTCATGATCATCATCCTTGTTTTATCCTCAAACTAATCCTCGCCCTCGCATTCATCATAATTCTGATCATTGGGCGCTAGTTTTCCCCGCCTTCTCCTCCTCTCCTTACTCAATACCTTCCTCCTAACCCCTGCCTGCTGCCATTCCACGTTCTATTTTCGATTTTCTGTGTCTACCCCCTACCTCCACCCCCATTTCCGGCACATACCCCAGTTTTAACTAGATTTATACCAGTAACTTGTACCCCCTACCCCCATCAAGCAATTAGTACCATTGCTGCACCCCAGCTTTTCACGATTCGCATTATCGGTTATCCTGGCCGTTATCGCAAACTTGTTTCTTACAACGGTTCGGTAACGTAAGGGACATATAGGGGAACATGCGGCTTGCGGCAGTTGTAGCGATCGCGTCGTCGCGCTTGCTGCTCGCTGAAGCCTTCGTGGTCTCTCCTGCTGCTAGACTATCTTCCTCCTTGTCTAGCTTCAACTCCTGCTCCTCGTCCTTCCTCCCCTCCCATCTCTCGACTGTACGACCTCAACTCTTACCGAGATCTGGATGCTCTGCAAGGATTGGCAAGGGGCTTCGGATGACCTTGGCAGCACCTGCCAAGATAGATGGACCACGATGGAAGAATGATGAAGAATATGCGTCGCTTGATGACGTCAAGATGCAAGAGGACATGAAAATGGTTGAGAAAATGGTAGATGACATCTCTGCTCTTTCCAAGAAGCTTGATCTGAAGAGTCTGGAGAACATCGACCCATCCATCCTGGTTCAGCTCTCTAAGAAAGCCACGGATGCATCAGTGATACTCATGAATGTTGCGACGTTCGCTTCATGTGAATCCAGTGTGGATGGGACCAATGCCCAAGCCCGGGCGACGTCAGCGAAAGTTCGTGCACTCTCAGCCAAGCTGGGCCAAGCTGCTCAGCCGCTCTCGATTGCGCTCAAGCTAATCCCTGAAGACAAGGTCGAGAAGTATCTGAAGGAGCTGCCGCATGAAGAATTCTCCGTGAGACATCAACGCAAGGTAAAATTTGGAGACAAAACTGCGCAGGTTTGCTGACTTTGGCGTTCCCAGCTCCGCGATTTCACCCTCAGCCTTGAAGAAGAAAATCTGATTACTGCGCTTGGAGTTGATGGGCACAGCAGCTGGTCGCAGATGTACAATACCATCTCGTCGACTCTCACATGCCAGGTCGGGGACAAGAGCATGGGGGTCGCTCAAGCCGCCGCCCTCCTTTCATCTCCAGACCGCTCCGAACGTCTCCAAGCCTGGAATGCCATCCAGGCCGCCTGGACGGTCCATGAGGAAGCAGCGGCGTCTACCCTCAACAGCATCATCGGCTGGAGACTCGAGTTGAACAGGAAGAGGGCTGAGAAGGCCGCACAGCCAGTCCATTTCCTTGACACCGCCTTGCACCAGGTTGGTTTTCGCTGTACCATGAACCTTCTGACTTGTTTGCACATTCAGAACCGTATGTCGCGCAAGACCTTGGATGCGATGATGCAGGCAGTCTCGGAAGCCCAGCCTCTCGCGCAGAAGGCGTTGAAGCTTCAAGCCAAGGTGTTGGGAATCGAGTCCTTGCATCCGGCCGACCTCTTTGCACCTCCGCCACAAGGCGCCCAGTCGTCGTCACTTGCTTTGCAATACGAGGAAGGCATCGGTAAAGTCTTGCTCTCCCTCCATCTCTCCATGTTCCCAGAGATACATTGTGTTACTTCCGGGAAGACTTGATCTTTCTGACTCGATGGCAGATCTCATCGCAGATTGTGTTTCTTCGGTCCATCCATCCGTCGGTGAATTCGTCAAGATGATGTCGCAGAAAGAATGGATTGAAGGGAAATCGGGAGACAAGAAGGTTCGCCTTGTACTTCGCTTTCCTTGCTCGGGCTGAGAGTTGTCTGCAGGCGCCTGGAGCGTACTGTACATCCTTCGCCAAGTCGAGAAATCCTCGCGTCTACCTGTCGTCCTACACAGGGTCCTACCAGCACGTTTCCACCCTTGCACACGAGTTGGGACATGCGTTCCACTCTTGGGTCATGAAGGACATGGAGCGATCTGAGACCCGGTGGAGAAGTTGTTTCACTATGTGACCAACGCTGACCCTCGCTACCAGCTATCCCATGAATCTTGCGGAGACAGCTTCCATCTTCTTCGAGACGGTTGTTGGGGATCGGCTCGTGGCCATGGCGAAGACTCCTGAGGAGAAGCTTCGCTACAGTTGGTGAGGAAGAAACATTTGAGATTTGGTCCATTCCCCTGACGCTGGACCGAATCCCTCCCTCCTCCTTCCCCAGGTACGACGCTGAGAGTGCTGGGGCGTTTCTCCTCAACATCCCAACAAGGTTCGACTTCGAGTCTGAGATTCATGCTGCCCGAGAGCAGGGTCAGAACCTCACCCCAGACTTCCTCCGGAACACGATGACCAAGGCCTGGAAGGGTCGCTATGGCGATGCCCTCAGCGAGTATGACAGCATGTTCTGGGCTTCCAAGCTTCACTTCCACATGACGGGAGTGCAATTCTACAACTTCCCCTACACCTTCGGGTACTTGTTCGCCTTGGGAGTCTATGCACAGCAGGAGAAGCTCGGGGATGGCTTCTATCAGGCCTACGTCGATCTCCTGCGTGACACAGGAAGAATGTCGGCAGAAGAGGTTCGTCATGAGGCCATGGTGAGGGCTGGGCTGACGTGTGCGACCAGGTGGTGCAGAAGCACCTCAAGTGCAACATCGAGGAGCCGGAGTTCTGGCGAGGATCCATCAGGATCATCGAGAAGAAGATCGAGGTTTTGGAGAGCCTCGTCAACCAGGTTGCCTGAGGCCCGACCGTACCGTACTCGCAGACATTAAAAATGCTGAACTGTGGAAGCCTGTCCGGGATGCCATACCAGGCCATCTTTGCTCAAATCAGCCCGCTAAGTCAACTTGAAGGACCGGGCTTTTGGGGCCGCTGAAATCCGACTGAGCTTGATCACTGATTAGACATCAGCGGCCCGGCTCTCTAAGTCATCTGAGGCGGGTGAAGATTTCCAACCGTTACCGTCAGATCGATTTCAGATATGATGGGTAGGGTGGTACATTTACTACCAAGGGGTACTGGGAACACCAGAGGTAAAAGTAGGGGTAATGTTTAATGGTGGGTACAGCTATTCGAGGGTAGGGGTACTAGACGTTATGTCTGTTGGGGAGGAACATAGTAACTGCCGCACCATGTCCTGCGAGCGGGATTGGATGTGCGGAGAGGAGAAAAGGAGGAGAGGATCACGCTGTTAGGAGAAGAGGAAGAGGAGAAGAAAGGGAGCAAACGAGAAGACAGGTGTACGTAGACCATCGTAAAGCCCTTCTTGTTCAACAGGAGAAGGAGAAGGAACTCAGGCTAGTCGGGAAGATCCAACAAGCTGAAAAGATGCCGAGCTCTACATTCAATGCGATGAAGAATGCTTTCAAGGAGTATGACCCAGATTCATTCACGGAAGGAGGACACAGCAGCCATACTGTTGTGAGCAAGAAGGAAGCTGAACCTGCGATACCCGCACAGCCCAACAAGGGCAAGAGCCACGAGAAGAGAAAGAGACAGCAGGACCAGATCAATCAGAGTCAGCATCCGGTCCATGAAAAAGCGTTCATATCCACGTGTCCTTCTGGGGACTTCAAGTCAAAGCACGGTGGCTGGGAGGGAACGTTCGCGATCAAGCATGGAGGGTTTCCCCATATGTTTGAGAACCTAATGCCTTCCAAGTCAAGGACGTGGCTAGGTGACAAGGCAGAAAAGCCGCTGCAGAAGATGCCTGTCTTAGTGAAGTACCCGGACCAAGGCGGGCCGGGGTATCCTGACCGAACACTCGGAAAGGATTACAAGTATGTGAGCGAGCAGAACTTTGACATGGTGGAGAGGTTGAACCGGGGTTACAAGCTGGGGCTGGGGTCGGGCTTTCGGAATGAGGAGAAGGTGAACTTTCAAAGGTTCCTGTGCTAGGAATGATGACCTATTCAGATCCAAAGTGCTCCTTGGGTAACAACCTCTTCCAAGGCAGCCCTCTTCGATCCCTTCGAGCCGTACAAGGTAGCATGTCACAGTGTCTGGATGGAAAACATTGATTTCCTATGGCGCAGGAGATCAACGCTAGTGTTTCGCGGGAGAACAGCACGAGACGAAGAGGGATCCCGCTCCACCCGGCACAGCACAACACTCCGTTCATCTCCGCCTCCAAGGTCCGGAGGCTGCCCACTGAGGTACAGGGAGCGCGGGCCGCGGACGCTCCTGACTGACCGTTTGCTCAGCTTTTCGGGTCCTTTGCCTACTTCCCCGACGAGTTTGTTGAGGACGGGTTCACAAAGTACGGGAAGATCGTAGAGAAGCAAGCGCGGGCGCGGGACGAGAAGCGAGGAGTCAAGCCCATCCATCATCCTCCGTGGGCCCTGACTTTCCTCTCTCCCTCCTCCAAGCTGACGCCTCCGTTGCTGCAGGTTCAGGACGAGCGGGCCGACCGTCTTGGCCAAGACCACACCTTCGATCGCCTTCCGGCATGTTCGACACTGAGGTGGGCGAGGGAGGGAGGGCAGGAGGTCTCAGTCTCATGCTACCCTTGAATCTACAAGTTTTTGAGAGGATAAAGTAAGGATTGACGTGTTCCTGCTTCAACCATGCCTCCCTCCTCTTCGCCGCTGCTCCACCCAACAGAACATGTGCATGTTTTCATGAACACACTGCCAGGAAGAAGAGACGAGGGTTCACGGTGGTGTCGCAGCTTCAACACTGGAGCTTCAGGGAGGGCAAGCGCTTCACACTCGCTCCTTGACTTCCTCGGATTGAAGAAAAATGTTCTCTTTTCTCCGTACAACAGGTTCCTCTCCTCTCCTCTCCTCTCCTCTCCTCTCCTCTCCTCTCCTCATCTCGCCTCGCCTCGCCTCCTACTTGTCCCTGGCCCTCTCACAACTAACCCCATAGTATTTCGCTTCCTCCCTTCCCCCTCCCTTCCCCCTGACTTCTCCTCCCTTCCCCATACCGTCTCCCTCCCCCTCCCTCTTCCCCTCGAGCCCTCCCGGTCCGCAGCCATCAGGCTCCCTTGCGTCCCTTCCGCCAGGCATTTTTCCCCGACCGCCCCCATCCCCGGCCCCCGCCCTGCTTTTCGTTTTCAGTTCCGCATTCAAGTGGCTTCGGAAGGGAGGGCGGCAGATGGGGGAGGAGGGGGAGGCGCGAGGAGGCGGAGGAGGCGGGGGAGGCGGAGGCCTGCGGTCCTTGAACCTCAACCACAAGAAGCTGCGATCGCTCCCTACAGCAGCGCGAGAGGACAGGATGTCGCAGGAGGGCGAGGGCAGCAGGTCTCCCCTCCTCACCCCCAGGGTGCTGCTGTCCCTCACTGCCCCTTCCCTCGGGCGACTGGAGGCTCTTCACCTGCGCGGGAATCTCCTGAGGAGCCTGTGGGACATGCAGAGAACGCCGATGCTGGTGGTGCTGGACCTGAGCGAGAACGATCTCACCAACGTCTCCGAGCTTGCCGCCCTCCATCGCCTTCGCCAGCTCCACCTCAGCTCTAACGCCATCGAGAACCCGCAGGCCGTCCCCACGTTGAAGAATCTCTCCTTCCTCTCCCTCTCCTCCAACTTCCTCTCCTCCCTCGAGGGCCTGCAGCCTCAGCCCAAGCTGGAGATCCTCCACCTGAGCAACAACAAGATCGACTCGGTCAAGTACTTCCCACTCTGCCCTCGGCTACAGGTGAGACCCTCCATGAGGGAGGACATGGACGGGAGCTGACGGAGATGTGGGCGCGGAGCAGGAGCTGAGCTTGAAGGGGAACCCTGTTGCGCAGCAGGACAAGTACAGGATAAGGATGATCCTTTCCCTTGCCGCTTCTGGGATGTGCCACTTGCGCAGGTGAAAACCCTTTCGGAAGGCGAACGATGCCGATGACGAGGCATGCAGATTGGACAACGAGCCTTTCAGTGAAGAAGAGCTATCAGCGGTACAAAGATTGGGCGCTCGCCCCTCCCTCCCTCCATCTATCCTTCCTTTCTTCCCGCTCTCCCTCCCTCCCTCCCTGCCTGCTTTACAAAAGCCGGAGCTATATCACGGG